ACTGCCAGTGTTACATGTGAACATTCTTTGTAAATTGTGAAGGAAACACACAGGCTGGAGTGATTATTAAACATCATTAAGTTGATCTTTCCCTCTGTGTGTCTTGTTTACTTTTTGCAAAGGGCTTTCCCATATTTTATCTCATTTGGTGACCACATCAATCAGGAGAGAAGGGAAGTTTTACAGATGGGAAAAAAAAGACTCAGAATCAGTAACTGGCTTAGAGGATGACTCTCAAAGTGGTCCAAGGGCCAGCAGCATCAGCATCACCTGGGAACTTGTTCAACGTGCAAATCCTGGGCCCCCCTCAGATCCACTGAATCAGACACTCTGGCATGAGGCCCAGCCAAGTTTGAGAACCACTGACTCAGATTCATGCAGGTGGCAAGTTACAGACCTCGGTAAGAACCCAAAGATGTCCCTAGGTTCATTCCTTCATGGATCTGCTTGCATGTTAATAGTTAACAGTTTTCTTCCACTACTTGCTTCAGGAACCCTTGCACAAACCAGATCCAGCTATATCTCCCACCTCTCTCCACAACACTCTGCCCCAGGACCTTTGCACGTACTGTTTCCTCTGCGTGAAATGCCATCCCTCCTGGCTCAATTCTCCTCACATTACGTCTCAAGGCCAGCATCCTTTCTTCAGAGGGACCTCTTTAGGGCCCTTCCATAACTCTGTCAGAGCCCCCTGTTTATTTTCCTAGCAGTGTTTGGTACGTTCCGAAGTTACCTTGTTTGTTTACTAGGAAGTAAGCTCCATGAGGCAGTGCCCTTTCTTTCTTGTTACTGTTATGTCTCAGGGCCCACCACAGTGCGTAGCACATGGCAGACATTCAAACGTTTATTGAATGAATAAACCACAAACTCAAGGCAACTCAGAAGCAGGAAAAGGCAGTTTCCTCCACTCTTGACTCCTTCGAGGACGGCCAGTCTCGGCTTTCCTTTGGGGAGGGGGGCAGGGAGGGCAGTTCCCAGTTTATTTCATATCTACCAGGGCCCCCTGGTGAAAGCGCCCACACAGGACTTGGTTCCCCAGGAGAAGCAGACCATCTGAATTGCCACAGATGCAGAGGACAGGGAGGCTTGTTCTAAATGGGAGAGTGGAGCAGGGGCCCCGGGAGGGCGTGCTTCCCTAAGACTGGGGCGGGTTGGCGGGGGGACAGCTCTTTTTTTATTATTACTTATGGTAAAAAAAAAAAACTCAAACCACAGAACATGAAATCCACCCTCTTTCCAAACATCTAAGTGTACAGTGCAGTGTGTTAGTGCACATACGCTGTTGTACAGCAGAAGTCTAGCACCTTTGCGTCTTGCAGACTGAAACTCTAATGCTCACCAAACAACAACCCCTCACTTCGTCCTCCCCTCAGCCCCAGCAGCCACTGTTCCACCTTCTATCTATGAGTTCGACGACTCCAGGACCTCATACAAGGGGAATTACTCGTCTTTCTGTGGCTGGTTTATTTCACTCAGCAGAACGTCTGCAAGGTGCATCCCTTGCAGGATGGCAGGATTTCTTTCTTTCTTAAGGCTGAGTAATCTGTTGTATATAGAGACCACATATTCTTTATCCATTCAACCATTAATGGACATTTAGATAGTTTTCACTTCTTAGCTGTTGAGCTATGAACGTGAGAGTGCAGATATTTCTTTGAGATCTGATTTTCGATTCTTTTGGGGTAAATACCCTGAAGTGGGATCACAGGGCAGGTCTATTTTTAATTTTTTGAGGCGTCTCCATACTTTGTCCATAGTGGCTGCAGCATTTTACATTCCCACCGACAGTGCACAAGGGTTCCAATTCTAGTTTCTCCATACCCTCAACAACATCTGTTTTGATTCTGGGTTTTTTTGGGGGGGGGTGGTAATTAGATTTTATTCATTTATTTTTTTAGTGGAGGTGCTGGGGATTGAACCCAGGACCTCATACTTGCTAGGCATGTGCTCTACCACTGAGCTATACCCTCCGCCCTGCTTTGTTTTGTTTTGAATGATGACCATTCTAACAGGTTGAGGTGCTATTGCATGGCTTTGATTTGCATTTCTGTGATGATGAGTGACGTTGGGCACCTTTACAAATACCTGTTGGTCATTTGCATGTCTTCTTTGGAGAAATGTCTATTCAAGTTCTTTGAAGGGACAGTTCTTTCTCAGAAAGAAGTTTTGCAAGAGGGGGAGACTACTGGTGCTCTACATTGGGGTGCTGGGGTTGCTGTCGACACAGTCCTCGTGCTCCAGCTTGATTCAGAGCAAGAGGTGCCTGCCAGCTTCACGGGGACTACACAGGCAGCATCAGCTGGAGCAGCAGCTGAGACACTGTGGTGCTAACTCCATATCCTGGGCTACATAAACCCCTGGGTTCCAGAACCATCTTAACGAAGGCACTGCCCTGACTGTGACCAAACTGCAGCTATGTTTGTTTAAATTGTGATAAAATTCACATCGCATAAAATTTACCATCTTGGCTATTTTTAGGTGTACCATTCAGTAACATTAAATACCTTGGTTTTGTGTGTGTGTGTGTAGTAGGGGTGGGTAATCACTAAGTACCTTGTGCAACCATCACCACCATCCACCTGTAGAACTTCATCTTGCAAAACTGAAACTCTGTATCCAATTAACACTAATTTCCCATCCCCTTCTCCCTGAGGTCCTGGAACCAGCCTTCTGCTCTCCATCTCTATGAATTTGACTACTCTGGGTACCTCAGGTGAGTGGAATCATACAGGCTTTCCGTGTCTGGCTACTTTCACTCAGCATAATGTCCTCAAGTTTTGTCCATGTTTTCACATGTATCAGAATTTCCTTCTGTTTTTTTCTTCCAGCTTTATTGAGATAGACTTGACATACAGCACTGTATAAGTTTAAGGTGTAGAGCCTAATGATTTGACTTAAATAAATCATGAAATGATTACCGCAGGAAGTTTAGTGAACACCCATCATCTTCTGTAGATACAAAATTAAAGAAATAGAAAAAAAACTTTTCCTGTAATGAGAACTCTTAGGATTTACTCTCTCAAAACTTTCATATATAACATACAGCAGCATGAGTTGTAAGTATCATGCTGTGTGTTACATCCCTAGAACTTATTTATCTTATAACTGGAGGTTCCTGCTTTTTGACTGCCTCCATCCAGTTCCCCTCCCCCAGCCCCCACTGCTGGTAACCAGAAATCTGATCTTTTCCTTTGAGTTTGCTTCATTTTTGAAGTATAATTGACCTACAACACTATGTTACTTCCTGATACACAACACAGTGATGTGCTATTTCTGTACATTTCAAAATGATCACCATGATGTCTAGTTACCATCTGTCATAATACAAAGACACTGCATAATTATTTACTATATTCCCCACACTGTACATTTCACATCCCTGACTCATTTATCTTGCAACTGAAAATTTGTACCTATTAATCTCCCCTACCTGTCTCCTCCCTCCAACTCCTCCCGTCTGGCCACCACCTATTTGTTCTCTGTTTCCATGACTCTGTTTCTGTTTTGTTAAAATTTCCTTCTTGTTTGAGGCTGAATAATGTTGCATTGCATAGATAGATCACATTTTGTTTGGACACCTAGGTTGCTTCAACCTTTTGATGATTATGAATAATGCGGCTAGGGACATGGGTGCACAAGTATCTGTTCAAGTCCCTGCTTTCAGTTCCTTTGAGTATATACCTAGAAGTGGGATTGCTGGATCTTAAGGTAACTCTATTTTCAATTTTTTGAGGACCCACCACACTTTTTTCCGTTGTGGTGCCTACACTATTTTACATTACCATCAACAGTGCACAAGTGTTCCAGTTTCTCCACATCCTCACCAATAATTGCTAGTTTTTTTTGTTTTGTTTTGTTTGATAGTAGCCTTTCTAATGGACATGAAGTGATTTCTCATTGTGGCTTTGATTGGCATTTCCCTAATGACTGGTGATGTCAGGCATCTTTTCATTGTCCATTCATTTATCTTCTTTAAAGAAATGTCTGTTCAAGTCCTTTGCCCATCTTTTAATCAGGTTGTTTTGAAACTGACTGATGTAAGCAACGGACTCTCCCTAAAAATGTTTTGAAACTGACTGATGTAAGCAACGGACTCTCCCTAAAAGGACACGCACATAACACACAACCTTGCACCTGGTTTCTGGTTCAGGCACCACCACCCGCCCCCACTGGCCCAGTCTCAAAGCAGTGTCCATCACTGTCAGCCCGGAGACTGGCTAAAAATGCAGATCCCCAGGCCCCACCGCGGAGACTCATTCAGTGGGCCTGGGACGAGGCGTTCTTCGTTCTCAGCCAGCCCTCAGACGACTTGGGTGCTGATGCTGAGCGGCGCCCACTTTGAGAAACCCCACTCTGGAGCTGAGACCCCACCGTCCCCACCGTCCCCACCGCCTCCATGCTCCAAACTTTCGCCACGTCGCCCAGCACACCGGCCGCCTCCCCTCCCCTCCCCTGCCCGAGGCCTCACCCGCGCGCGGTCGCGGAAGCATCTGGGGGAACCCGGTGGGGACCTAGAGGGAGGCCCCCTCCCGGGAGGCGCAGCGCCGCGGCCGGCAGGGGGCGCGGCGCCGGGACCAGGCCGGGAGGGGGTGCCGGGCAGCTCGGGCCCGAGCGGAGGGGCGGGGCGGGAAGGAGGGAGG